CATTCTAAAAGTATTTTCTTACTTTTATCTCTCTACAATTAATATTCTTAAGAGCTTTTCACTTCAACACCAAAATATTTTTAACTTAGACATCAGTGTATCTTTTTTAAGCTCCACCTTCGGTATGTCTTGCAAGAACACATGAATACAGTCAACAAAACGGTTTGAATCTGTGTAGCAACACATTGTTAATTTGCCAGTTGCAGACAACCGCCCAAGAAGGTAAGAATATAATAGCTGCTACCAACTACATATCAAACTCTCTACAAGTATCAGTCCAATTTTCTTTCCTTTTCTTTCCAATCAAATTTGTCACATAGAAATCAGAGATTCATCTGCTGTGGATGTTATGAAGTGAGTGAAAATGAATTTGAGCCTTTTTCTTATACCCTCAACTCATTATAATTTTCTCTATAATTCTCTCCATACTTAACAGTTATTGCGGTGCTGTCCCTTTCATTATGCAGTCTACTAGATGTAATCTCGCTGCAGTTGCTCACGAGACCTCTGGTATCTACAAACATGGAGGTAAGTCTCTATTTCGGACCTTTTGATGTGTAGGTGATTGAAGGCCTCCGATCTCTTTAACTTTGTATGGATGTTAAAAATTACTCGTATTTGTTTGTTAAAAATGCTCGGAGAGCAGTGCTTGCGGCCTTAGGTGAAGCTGCTGATCTTCAGTTGCTTTAATTTGTTTTTTCCTCTTTTACCTGATTTGGTAGATTATGCTAATTTATAATTTATTTGTTAAATCTCGATTTTGAATTTAACTATAATATCTATGTAAATTGTTATTTGTTATAATTTTTATACCTTCGGAGCATTTCTACTTATAGGATTAAACTATGATTCCTACATATGATACTTTTTTTAATAGAATACTACATATGTGTGTGTATATATATATATATATATATAGAAGAAATAGTATTTATCAACCTTATCTCTTAAGGATTAGGAGAAAAATTATTTTAAAACTACTCATTTCAACTTCAAAATTACTCATTTTAATAAATTTTTATTGAAAAAGATTAAACTATCATATTTTTAAAATATGCATTAAGATAATTTTTATCTTTTTTTTTCTTAATTTTTTGGAATTAAAGCAGATAAACATTAACCCCATGTATATATATATATATTGAAAAAAAAAA